TCGTGATGAGTTGTGAGCAATTCAATGGCATATAACAACAACAATCCAACAAGAATAAACAGGTCTGTCCTGGAAAGGGTGAAGCCAAGTTTCTCCTTGGAGGCAAGGATTTTGAATCCCTGTCTCACATACTTTGGGCATGTTGCCAGGAAGGACAAATTTTTGGAGACAAACGTCATGCTTGGAAGAATGGAGGAACAGGTTCAGGAAAGGGAGACCCTGGATGAGATGGATTGACTCAGTGACTTGGATAATAGGGTCAGGTGTGTTGAAGACAGTGAGACTGGCTCAGGATAAGACAGAGTTCAGAGCTAGTGAGCATTTTTGCTGTTACATGCCATCGAGTGGCATATGACTCCTAGTGACTCTGAACAACTGAGTCGCAAGAGACTCGATGGCACAAAACAACAACAACCCAATGAGGTGGGTTGACATAGTGACTGCAGCAATGGGCTCAAGTGTGTCAGATCCTGTGAGGATGGCACGGGATAGGACACAGGGCTCAGATCTGGTTCGTAAGGTCGCTGTGAGTCATACGCAATGTGAAGGCACCTAACAACAACCCAACCCACATATTTGAGCAAGTATCTGCTTTAAATTTGCAGTGAACGTTCCTAAGCCTCTGTCCTTGGTACATGGGGAGACCTGGGTGGAGAACAGAGTCAGGCAGAGCCAGGTGGCTCACTCGGAAGGATGCATTAGATTAGAAAGCACCTGTATGTCTTATATGAACTTGAGGTCTCTTGTCCCACTGGGCACAGGTCTCTTTCTGTGATGGGTGGGAAATTTGCATCCAGTATTTCAAGGACTCTCTGTTTTACCTAGTGTGCTGTCCCCAGGGTCTGGTCCCTCCTAATAACATGCCTGTAATATGTGAGACCAAGGCTTGCTATCCTCCCTTGTACAGAGCATTGTAGCTGGACTTCCAAAAGACACTTGTTCATCCTTCTGGTGTTTGATACTCTTTACCAATACCCGTCAAAGATGCCACTTTCCCTTCAGTCTTTAGTTTTGTCCAGCTTCCACATAGGGTCATCGGTGTTGTTGTTAGGTGTCATCGAGTAAACGAAGGCTCAAAGGAACCCCGAGAACAGTGCATCTGAACCTTGCCCTGTCCTGAACCTTCCTGACTCCCCCTCCTACCAGCTCAAACCCGTTGCTGCACTGAGTCAGTCCATCTCTTCGAAGGTCACCCTCCAGGCTGGGTTTAGAAGGGGTCGTGGTACTAGGGATATTGTAGCTAATGTTAGATGGATCTTGGCTGAAAGCAGGGAATACCAGAGGAATGTCTATCTGTGTTTCATTAACTATGCAAAGGCGTTTGACTGTGTGGATCATAACAAACTGTGACTGACTCTGAGAAGAATGGGAGTCCCGGAACACTTGATCATTCGTTCTAATGCGAAACCTATACTTAGACCAAGAGTCAGTTAACAGAGAGATTCAGGGTTTGAATCCACTACCTCTCCATTGGAAAAAATGAGACTATCTAACTTCACAAAAGACTTAGAGCCTTGGAAAGCTTATGGGAGCTCTCTGCTCGCTCTTAATAGGGTCTGTCTGTTTGTTTCTTTCCTGTAGGGTCATTATAATTGACTTATGGCAGTGGGTGTTTTCAGTTGTGTTTCTCTCTCTTTCTCCCTCCATCTCTCTCTCTCTCCGTGTGTGTGTGTGTGTGTGTGTGTGTGGTGGTTGCCTAGATTTCAATGCACCATGGCCCCACGTGTGTAAATCTGTGCTCTGGGTTTTTAATGACTGATTTAAAAAATATATATAATAATGCTTATCCTCAGGCTTTTCTTTCAAGGCACTTCTGGGTGGTTTTGTACTCCAAACCCCTTGGATAATAGCCAAATGCCTAGCCATTTGCAACATGCAGGGATTCCTTGCCTTATCAATAAACTGTCCTGGTTATCTAGTACTGCTCTTATGGAAATCCCGCAAGTAGCTGGCTTTAACCAGTGGGAATTTATTCTTTCAGTTTGTTGTTGCTATGTGCCTTCAAGTGGGAACAGATTCATAGCATATTTTCAGAGGCTATAAACTGCACAGGAAAAGATTGTCCATCTTTCCCCGGCAGAGCAATGGGTGGATTTGAACCATCTGCCTTTGGGTTGGCAGCACAACTTCTTATCCTTAGGCCACTGGAACTCCCTGTTAGGAGGCTGAAGGTCCAGGTTCAGGGTATCAGCTTTGGGGAAGCCTTTCTCTTTGCGTGTCTCCTGGTCTAGAGAGCTCCGAGCACAAGGACCCTCAGACAAGGACCTGATTCACTTCTTCTGGTTTTTCTTTTTTGGTGATAGGGTTCTCGTGCTCGCTCTCTCTCTCTCTCTTCACTTCTCTCGTTTTATTTCTTGTAAGATAAGGTGATGTTGGCCATGTTAGACCAGATTAGACCTCTGATACGGCCTTAACCCATATTCGATCAGGGCCGTGAGCTGAGAAGGGTGCTGCATCCCACCCTAACCCTAACCCTCACATCAGGGTTGGTCGCATCCTGGGAGACGGTGACATTACTTCCTAACTGACACATCCCTGAGAGTCATGGCCCTGGGAGCCAGAGCGACACAGCGTTTGAGGGACACTGGTCAACTCATGGCAATAATTTAGTGCAATGATGGAAGACAGTGGAAGTACCGTAAGCCTGTTCCACGTCCTGTGCTAAGCTGTTACCATCTAATGGGAGCCACAGGTGAGACCAAGAGTGGGCCAGGCTTCGCCCGGTCTGTCTCCTCTGAGTCCCGAGGGTGCACTGATATGTGGGTACTTCTGACGTGGGAACCTCTCAGGAGGAGGACTTCTGGACAGTCTTGGAGGACGCACCGTGGCTCAGGGTGGTGGGGGAGGGAACTACTGTAGGCAGAAGACCCCCTTGCAGAGACACAGAAGTGGCAGAGGCAGGAAGTGAAGGGCTAAGTCACAGGAGGGCACCAGCGTGTCTGACCTCATAGGTGTCCACTCCCCCCACTTTTGAATTTTAGAAAGACGACACTCAAGGACTACTCAAGAACATGGAGCCTGGCGTGCAGACGCCCTCGGACACGGGGTCCCTGTCCAGGAGAAGGAGAAGGGAGACACAGACATCGAAGGAGGAGGGGAGGCTGGAGGTAAGCCCTGGAGTGTGCACATCTGTCAGGGGTGAGTTCGATGGTGATGGGCCCACCTGTCATCCCAACTGTCATCCCAAGGCGTCTGTCTCTGCACAGCATATTTTTTCCTCCAATTCTCTTCTTTCTTTCCCTAAAATAATTGTTTTAATTATTTTTATTTTGTTGTTTTACAGAGAACAGACATATAAAAAATACACCATTTCAAGTTTTTCCATGTACAATTCAGTGACAATGATTACAATTCTCAGGTTGTAAAACTGTCTTCACCCTACCAAGATGTTCCTCCCTCTGTCACATAGTGTCACTGCCTCCAAGCTTCCCACCTGATTGCTCAAGTTGCTCTTGTCAATTTAATCCCATGTAGATCATTTTTAAAAGAGCAGAGTGCTTAAGGCAGACCTTTTAATAGTCAAGCTAAACTATTGTTTTTAGAGGATAATTTTGGTCTAAAGATTAACAGTTAGCTTAGAGAAATTGTTTTGGGAGGATTCATTCAGGCTCTGTGGTTCCAGAAAGCCTGGATTCCATAAGAAATAGAAATTTTTAAGTTATTATCTTCATTAATCTTCTTTTTGGAGGTGTAGTTTACATATGAACTCTGGGGAACTAATGGTAAGAACCTTTGCAATTCTAAGGTGCACAGTTCAAATCTACCAACTCTTCCATGGGAGAAGGATAGGCAGTCTCCTATCATGTGATGTACTGCCTCTGAAAGCCCACAAGAGGCTCAGCTACATCTTAGTCCCAACCTAATGGCACACAGCTATAACAACAAGTTCACATACGATACGTAGCACAGGTTATAATTTATAGTTGGATGAATTTACAGGTTATAGTTTGACAAATTTGACAAATGTATCTGGTATCTCAATCAAGGGCATTCCTGTCATCCTGAAATGTTACCTAGTGCTCCTTCTGACGAATTTCACTCTTCCAGGGGTGACCAATGTCATGATTTCCATCACTAGAGATTCACTCTACTTGTTCTAGAACATTTTATAAATGGAATTGTATATGAATTTTGAGTGTGTTTCCCCATCCACATAAGGATCTATTTGTTGTGGTCTTCATTCAGAATTGATTCCATGGCCAAGAGTAATAAAGCCTCTGTCCACCTCTTTTCCCCCTGTGCAGCTTGCTCTCCCCTCTCCGCTCTCCCTTCTCCCTTCTTCCCCCTCCTCTCCTCTCCCCTTTTCTCCTCTCCTCCCTTACCTTCCCCATCCCTTTCCTCCCCTCCCCTCCCCTCCCTTTCTTTTTCTCTCTGTCTCGCTCTCTTCCTCTGTGTGTGTCCATGTTTAACAGTGTGGCAGAGTCCGTGAGTGTCCCCTAACTCTCACTCTCTCTTCCTTTTTTCCACCCTGCATCAGCCAGGGCTGTAGTAACAAAGGACCACACACCAACTAGCTTAAAACAACAGAGATTTATTATTTCACAGGCCAGGAGCCAAGGGCCCGAGACCATGGTGTGGGCAGAGCTGTGAACTCTGAAGGCTCTTCCAGCTTCCAGAACCCCGGCCATTTCTAGTGGCTTACACCCCTACTCCTGTCTTCCATCTCTGCCTCAGCCCTGGTGGCCTACTGGATAAGAACTGTACTGCCAGCCCAAAGGCAGGTGGTTTGAATCTACAAGCTGCTCCATGGGGGCAAAGATGGGCAATCTCCTCTCGTGTGATTTATAGCCTCTGAAAACCTACTGGAGGGTCAGCTATGAGCCAGCTCTGGCTTGATGGCACACAGCAACAACAGCAACAACAAGCCTTCGTAAGGGAGCTTTCTCTGGTCGCTTAGTGGTAAGGAGTTAAGCTGCAAACTCAAAGGCACACAGTTCGAGTCCACCAGGTGCTCCATAGGAGAAAAATGGCCAGTCTCCTGCCTGTGATTTAGTGCCTCTGAAAACCCACTGGAGCGGCAGCTATGAGTCGGTTCCAACTTGATGACACACAACAACAACCTATAGAATTAAGACCAGTCTGGCTCCAGCCTCAAGTGACACTTGACTAGTAACATCAACCAAGGGCTCACACGCAGAGGACTTCCACACATCTGTTTAGGAGAGGCAAGTTGACTCATTCGCACTCCCATTCCTCACATCCCCGCTCCCCTCTCCACACTATTACCCCCCACTCTCCCCCAGGGCAGCTGTGTTGCTGTCAGGAGCCTTGATTCATGGTAACTCCAAAGGATGGAGGAGAAACTGTCCCACAGAGTTCACTAGGCTGCACTCTAGCCACTGGGCAGGCTCAAACTGCCAACCTTTTGACTAGCAGCCAAGCACTTTACTGCTTTACCACCAGGGCTCCTTGGAGCATCTCTGGATGTGATGGACACAACTCTGGCTGTGGGATCCCAAGTCCCGTAGACCCATGTTCCTGCACCACATGATTCATCCTGAGTCTCTGATAGTGACAGCATTGACTGTCCCACCTACATCCCAGGCCATCCAGGACCAGGCTAGCTTGAGTACACGTTCCCACACTTTACAACAGTTACCCTGAGTTTACAGCATTGCCCATGCCCCCCCACCCTGCCCCTGGAAGGCTGGGAATGGTTTACCTGTGAACCACCGAGCTGTGCCGGGCAGCTGGCCATCAGCAGGCTAATCATTGCTAAGGGTGAAGTTAAACATCTCCCGTCCGTCCCAGTGGCTGGGCTGCCAGAATGCCCCCACGGCTGGCAGTCACCTTTTGTGGGGACTGCTCCCGGCAAGGTAGGGTGAGCCCTAGCTCCGCTGTCCTCAAAGGTGCAGAAAACCAAGGTCTGTGGGCCGTGTCACCTTGAGTGAACTCAGATCTGGCATTTCCTTCTGCTAAAGGCAGACAGAAGATTCCAGAAGGCTTTTGGGCTTGCTGTGCGGTGCTGTCTGTCCTGTGGCTGTAGTTCCACCCAGCGGAGGGAAGAGGTGCTCACCCTGGTTGGGGGCGTGTAGGGTGCAGTCTCTGCAAAGAAGTTCCCTCCTCTTTCCTCCCCTTGCACCCGCTGCTCCCTGGGTTTTCTGAGTAGTTACATTGTTTCAGCTGAAGAAGTTCCCCTTTGTAAATGCAGTTTTCGGAATAATTGCATTGCTTCGAGGGAGAGAATATTAGAAAATAATGCACCACAGGCAAGCGGGACATGCCTTTCAGGTGGCAGGGGCCCCTTCCCTCCTGGGCCTTGTCTCATGAACCAAGTGCCTCAGCACCCTCTGGTCCTGCAAACCTATCACCAACATCACCACCTGACCTCGAGGGGACTTGCCAGCCACAGGCTGATGAGATGGTCAGAGGGCGACCACCGAAGTATAAGATTACCAGCGGCTATCCATTCAGTCCACTCTGGTTCTTAAAGACCCACAAGGTGCCGAGGAATGTTGTGCTTTGCAGGGTTTCCAATGGCTGTGACCTTTTAAAAGTAGATTGCCAGGCCTTTCTTCCTAGGTGCCTGTAGCTGAACTCAAACTTCCAGCCTCTCAGTTGGTAGGCAAGTACTTAATCATTCAAGCCACCGAGGCACACCAGCCACCAGAGTGCACCTGGGCTTTGAAGGCACATGTCCAGGCCTTCTCAGCCCCGAGCTCCTGCTTTCATGGGTCCCAGACAAAACCTAGCATGCACCCTTCTTACAATCTTTTTTTTTTCACATGAGTCACAAACGACTCGAAGGCACATAACAACAAACAACAACATACTGGTTTATTTACAAAGTTTGTATACATTGTTTTTCACACCGGATCTTTCTCATTTCCTTTACCCACCCCTCCCTCCACCCATCAAATTGTGTGACCATATGATTAACCACCCCTGCACCCCACCCATCCTCACCCCTCTGCTCCTACTTTCGCCCCCCCCTTTGGATTTTCATACTCATTCTACAATAATGGTCTTATACAGTATTTGTCCTTATGGAACTGGGTTAGTTCACTCAGCATAATGCTCTCCAGTCCCTCCCAAGTTAGTGATTTACAAAATCATTGCTCCTGCGTGCTGCATAGTATTCCATCATGTGAACGTAACCATAATTTCTCAATCCATTTGATTGTGTTTGGATATTTGGCAATTCAGTGTTCTTGCAGTGGTGAATAAAGCGGCTATGAACATTGATGTACAAGTCTCTGTGCCTAAATTATCATTTTCTCAGGGTATATTCTAAGCAGTGGAATAGCTGTGTCATATGGAATTTCTTTTCCCTCCCTTTTTAAAATTATTATTAATTTTAATGAAAATTTACAGAGACTTTGGATTTCCATTCATTCATTGTTGCACTTTTTTCCTTGTCCACCCTGCCCCCCACCCCAGTTCATTCTTCTCTTTGAAAAGTAAAAGAAAAATTCTTTCATTGGTATACAATTCCTCCCCCCAAGTTCACTCCACTATGCAGCCTTCATTCTGGACTCCTGTCATGACAATAATAACTAATCATATATCACTTTTAAACAGTTCTCTTCCTCATCTGTTTCAATGCAGTATGCATAGTTTATCCCATCTTTCTCAGTCTCCCCCCAACCCCAAGGTCAGTCCTGTTTTACAACAGTGGCACTGTGCAGTAGTTGTCCTTTTCTGACTGAGATATTTTACTCAGCATAATGTCCTGCAGGGTCACCCAATTTGTATAACATTTCATGAGTTCCTTATTTTTCAATGCAGCATAGTGTTCCATTGTGTGAATATATAACAGCTTCTGTATCCATTCGTTTGTTGATGGGCACTAAGGTTATTTCCAATTTCTTGCTATTGCGAACAAAGCCGCGATAAACATGGGTGAACTTATATCTGCTTGGGTGGCAGTTATGGTCTCTTTGGGGTATATTCAAAGTAGTGAAATTGCTGGG